ACTAGTCTAGGCATGAAAAAACAATAGTGGATTGAATCGTAATCAAATTTAAAAAACTCTTCAAGTTTACTTTCGTATATGAGAAATAATAAAATCGAAGAGGGGGTGAATTTATGTTACATTACCTTTCTTTTAAATCTAAATATAAAGGAATTTGTTGTCAAATGAGCAGGTTATCGTCTTATTCATGTAATGGTCATTAAATAGACCACTGAAGCAAACAGAAACTTGAATTAGACGTCCTAGGATAAAGGGATCTGAGTACAACAAAATAACAAACTATTCCTATCATGTACAACAAAATAACAAACTAAAAAATAACAAACTGTTATTCTATCCTAATACTCCCCCTCAAGTTGGAGCATGGAGGGAGGAGATGCCCAACTTGGACAATAAAAATTCAAACTGCTTTCTGCCAAGAGCTTTAGTCAGGATATCTACAGGTTGGGAAGAAGTCGGAATGTGTTCTGTTAATATAGTCTTGGCCATCACATGTTCTCGAACAAAATGACAGTCGAGTTCAATGTGTTTGTACATTCATGAAAAACAGGATTAGAGGCAATATGAATTGCAGATTGGCTGTCACAATATAATTTCATTGGCATAGGGTGAGAGACACCAAGATCCTGCAAGAAAGCTTTGATCCATAAGAGTTCAGAAGTAGCTACAGCCATGGAACGATACTCGGCTTCTGCAGAGGAACGAGAAATGGTGTGCTGCTTCTTTGATTTCCACGAGATAGAAGATTGACTGAGTTTCACAAAATAGCCAGTAATGGATCGTCTAGTAACAGGACAACTTGCCCAATCAGAGTCACAATAGGCACGAAGTTGAAGATCACAAGTAGAGCTGAGGAGAAGCCCCTGTCTCGGATTACCCTTGATATAACGCAAGACACGCAGCACTGCATCATAACGTTCTTGCAGAGGATGTTGGAGAAATTGAGAAAGTGTATGTACTGCATAACTCAACTCGGGCTGAGTTATAGTAAGATAGACGAGGCGGCCTACAAGACATCTATAACGTGTAGGATCATCATATGCTGGGCCATCTACAAGGGCTAATTTATGATTCTGGTCCATGGGAAAATTAGCTGGTTTGCACCCAAGTAAGCCACATTCACTCAATATATCCATAGAAAATTTTCGTTGGCTTAGAAATAAACCAGATGAGTTGCGAGCAAATTCAATACCAAGAAAGTATTTGAGTTTGCCAAGATCTTTAATTTTGAACCAAGTCTGAAGATGAAGCTTAACCTGATCACAAACGGAAGTGGTATTTCCAGCCAAAATAATATCATCGACATAGATTAAGACAACAAAATCGAGATCTCGACTGAAAGTGAATAATGTGTAATCAGCCTTGGATTGTTTAAATCCGAAACTGAGAAGAGAGTCACGAAGTTTGGCAAACCAATTCTGCGGTGACTGCTTAAGACCGTAAAGACAACGTTGTAGCTTGCATGCAGTGCCAAGAGAACCAGTAGAAAAACCAGGAGGGAATCACATATATACTTCCTCCTTAAGATCACCATGAGGAAAGGCATTTTGAACATCCAATTGATAAATATTCCATCCCTTTGCAACCGCAACAGAGAGAAAGGTGCGCACACTTACCATTTTTGCAACTGGAGCGAAGGTTTCATTATAATCTTCTCCTTCAATTTGGTTATTGCCAGCAATGACCAATCTTGCCTTGTATTTTTCTCTAGAGTCGTCAGAATGATATTTGATGCGAAAAACCCATTTGCAAGGAATTGCCTTCTTGCCATGAGGAAGAGGAGTAACAACCCACATGTGGTTATCCACAAGGGCCTGTATTTCAAGTTTCATAGCCTGCTGCCAAAGTGGATCCTTCACAGCTTCTTTGAAGGAATGAGGTTCCATGGTACTACTAACAACTGCTAAGAATTTTTGGTGCTGTGAAAAGAAAACATGATTAGTAACAGTTTTCAATATGATAGAGAATACCCGAGGGAACATTGGAGAGAGTGTTGATAGAAGGAGGTGTAGTAGCTATATGACAATGATAATCTTGGAGATATGCTGGTGGCCGATGAGGTCTTCTTGTGCGAGAAAGAGGCTTAGAAGGTGGATATGGAGAGGTAGAAGGGCTCCCCTTGTCAGTGGACTCCGGGTCAGGTAGAGGTGTAACATCCAACGTAGGTGCATCAGTAGAATACGACTCGTATAAAATCACAGGTGAGGAGATAGGCTGTGTAAGAGCCTGTGGAGTATCTCTGGTAGATGATGCAAAAGGAAAATCGTCTTCGAAAAATTAAACATCACGAGAGACAAATATCTCCTTAGTATCCAAATCAAACACCTTCCAGCCCCTTTTATTAGGTGGATAACCAACGAAAACACATTTACGAGAGCGTGTAGCAAATTTGTCAGACGGTTTAGGCAGAACCGTGGCATAACACAGGCAACCAAGAAGCCGAATATGATCATAACTAGGTTCAGTATTATGGAGTACTTCATATGGACTTTTTCCTTTAAGCAATGTAGTGGGAGTCCGATTTATCAAATGGGAAGCTGTGAGTATACATTCACCCCATAAAGTAATTGGAAGATGTCCATCAAATCGCAAGGCGCATGCCACATTAAGGATGTGGCAATGGCGTCGTTCAACTCTACCATTTTGTTGTGGCGTGTAAGCACATGAAAGCTGATGGAGAATACCACGATTAGCAAAGAAGGTACGAAGAGAGGAAGAGAAAAACTCAGTCTCGTTATCTTCTTGAACCCTTTTAACCTTAGAATTGAACTGTGTTTGCACCATTGTAATAAATGTTACTAGAGTAGAACAAGCCTCATGCTTATCACGTCAAAGATAAACCCATACATAACAGCTAAAATCATCCACAATAGTAATAAAGTAACGTGCACCAGAAGAGGAGACAGTTCGATACGGCCCCCGTAAATCACAATGGATTAAATCAAAAGGCTGCAAACTATGTTTTTTATTAATAGGAAATGAAGTACGAGTTTGTTTGGCTCTACAAAAAACATCACAAGGAGCCATTTTATTTGAACTAGAAACAAATGGAAGCAAACTTAAATAATGCCTAGAAGGATGTCCCAAGCGTCGATGCCACAAATCAGAAGAGGAAGAACTATGAACCGCATGTGCAGAAACGAGTTGATGAAGCATATACACCCCTTCATGTTCAACACCCTTGCCAATCGTCCTCCTCGTTTGTAGGTCCTGTAGAAAACAAGTAGAATCAGTAAACAAGGCCATGCAATTGTTGCAGCGTATCAACTGAGAGATAGAAATTAAGTTGCATGTGAGTGATGGCACATAAAGAACATTTGTAAGTAGCAATGTAGAGGTGAGTCGAACGTCCCCACATTAGACTGCAAGAGTACGGGTACCATTTGGTAAACCCACTGAACAAGTAGAAATGGTACGGATATTAGTAAGGAAAGAAATTGTTCCAGTCATATGTTGGGAAGCCCCGCTGTCTAGAAGCCAAGGCTGTTTGGAAGATATTATACCCGATAATTTGTCAGGGGTTGTTTTGGAGGAAACATCAAGAGACATCAAATGTTGAAGCATGTCAGGAGTAAAACCATCAACAGACAAAGGTTTGGAAGAATCACCATCTGCAGTGGATGCACCAGAAGAAGTGGCATGAGCAGAAACAACAGCAGGTTGTCCTAAAGTAAAGCGACCGCGTCCACGTCCACGTCCTGCAGGAGTACGATCAGGGTACCCATGAAGTTTGTAACAGCGAGAGACATCATGGTTGGGACGTCCATAGTGGGTGCAGATAACACGTGGCTTAGATGGATCAAAAGATGCATTGGTGATAGCACAACCAAAAGCGTCAGAAGGAGTTTCAGAAGCACGAACCATAGCTTTATGTGATTCCTCTTGAATGACCATAGCAAAAACACGATTAATATTGGGAAGTGGATTGCTCTTGAGGATCTGAGTAATAAGAGTACTATAGACAACATGATAAAGGGCTATAAGAAATTGATAAACACGATCATATTCTATTTCAGCAGCAACATATTTTGTGAAAGCACAAGTATCACCAGTGGCACAGGAAACAAGCGCGCGACTAGATTCTAGTTCATCCCAGATGGAGCGAAGCTTGGTGTAGTAGTCAGTAACATGTGCACCATTTTGCTTCATGGTCGCAAGAGAGGCTTTGAGATGGAAGATACGTGGAATGTTTGCAACTGCAAAACGTTCCTTGAGATCATCCCAGAGACTCTTTGCAGATTCAAAGCACTTGATGAATGGCTGCATATGAGGATCTATGGTGTTGTGAATCCAACTATTAATCATGGAGTTGCACAGTGACCCAGCATATGCTTCATCAGAGGTTTTATCAATAGGTTCCTTAACACTACTTTGAACGAAACCAAGTTTGTTCTTGGCTTTTAATGCGTTACTCATTAACTTGGACCAATTTTCATAATTTGATTTCCCACGTAAAAGGACAGTGGTGAGAATGACACCAGGGTGATCAGAGGGATGGAGAAAAAAAGGTGATTTGGGATCGGTAATTTTGAGAGGCTGACTTGTGGAAGTCACGATGGAGGAAAGAAAAAAAAAATCAGTAAGGATCATCAAGCTCTTGATACCATAAAGGAACTTGTTGTCAAATAAGCAGGTTATCATCTTATTCATGTAATGGTCATTAAATAGACCACAGAAGCAAACAAAAACTTGAATTAGACATCCTAGGATAAAGGGATCCGAGTACAACAAAATAACAAACTATTCCTATCATGTACAATAAAATAACAAACTACAAAATAACAAACTGTTGAGTAACAAACTGTTAATCTATCCTAATAAAATATAATTTAAGACAAATGTTTGAAAAACTCGAGGGGGTGATCGCCCCCATGTGACTCTACCATTCCCGACAGAAGCAAAGTTGCATGAATTTTTTTTAGGAAATATGATCAATAAGTATAGAAGGAAAAGAGATATTTGGAAAATAACTAGATACACTTCCATTTGCTAATGGTTGAACGAGAACAATCTGAGTGCAAGCATGTAACTTACTGATTAATGAATAAGGAAGATTTTATGTAACAAATGAATGCATATCTGATCTTAAAAAACGTGCAAGTATGCAGAACCCTGATCAAGGTCTATTATTGTTGTCATTTTCCCCTATCCTAAGTATCTTTACCAGGCTTTTTGTATACAGAGTATGGTGATAACTACTACCGACAACTTGAATCTCAAAACTTGCTCAAGAATTTGTTTTCGATCAGCTTTACAAAATTATACATGTTCAAACTGCTTGGAGAGACACTTCAGGAGTAAGGGTGGTCAACCAATCCAATAAAGCCTTGTTCACAAGCTCCGGTATCTCATCATGTGGACAATGCCCAGCCTGCAAGTTTACAAGAGTTGTTTTTGGATAGAACTCTTTGATTCTATTAGCTTTGGCTGGACCAACCCATGGGTCAAGGTCACCCCAGAGCAAAAGCAATGGGCAAGATAGTTCACTCAATACAGCATCTAGAGTGTACTTGCTCTGATTCATCATGAAGCGTGTCATTAACCTGCAGACAACATTGCATGAAGTGGTCAAAATAAATAAAAAGGAATGATTAGGAGAATAAACTCATAATCAAAACTCCAGTTAGGTCACAATAATGACTTATTTATAGGTTTATAGCACTAGCATCCCCCTCTGCTTATCTACATTGATAAAGCCTGAGAAAGCATGTTTCTTTCCCATATATACACCAAGATGGAAGCCACCAACCACCACTATCACACTCCCCACTAAATCCCGACTAGCAAGGATGAGGTGAAGGCAATCCTTGTACGCAGCCTTACTTAAGTATAATTTCAAAGCAGTTGTTTTCTGAATTCGAACCCGTGACCTATTTAGTCACAAAGGAATAGTTTTATCACTGTTCTAGGCTCGCCCTCTCAAATGCTGACTAGGACAGGCATGGTCATGTACCTGTAATAAACTTCTCCTGCATTGGGGTCTGCAGCCGGCCTTGTTATGGACTCCACAAGATAGTCATCCACATTGGAAGAATTTATATAAACCTGTATTGACAAAATACACAATCAAACATATGCAGAGCCATTAAATTAAATTGAAGTGTTCGACTAGAAAACCAACTAGTAAGACAATAACAAGCAGAAGAAAGTTTCTGAAAGGGAAGACAGAAAACATCCTACCATATTGGTATACAACTATGCTTTTATGAGCCTATTCAGTGAGTGCATATACATTAATATGTCTTGGAACTCCAAATCAAATTTATACATGTCATATTTTAAACTTTATAGATACCTATTATGCTTTGAAAGAAACCTGAGTTGAAGATGGCATGTAACCTACACTTTTTAAGACTGACACAACCCGAGCTGGTTGCTTTGCCTGCCAGAATAAAAGTCCAAGAACTACACGCTGGAAAACCTCCTTCAAAGGTTTTAGGAAAAACTTCTGTAGAGGCGTTTCTTCAGAAGTTTTACTTTCCTTATTTCCATCATCAAACTGTCCTGCAGAATTTAGTAGAGCAACCCCATTGACAAGCTCAGGCAACCCAGTTGCTGCAACCAAAGCAGTAAATCCTCCAAGGCTGCAACATTATCATGATTGAGATAAACATCATATTTTTAATTTTTATTGCATATATAGGAAAATTGTTAACGCTACAGAGAAAACAAATTTGTAATTTACAAGATGTTCTGCTGTGCAACTCATCAATTAATTTGACTACTGAGAAGTAACTAAACACTGCAGCAGCCTAATTTGACAACATAATACTTCAGAATTAATTTATTGAAGGGAAGATAATTTTGCAAATCTCGTTTTAGTTAATAAAATCTGTTTGCTGAGGGAAAATAACATAATCAATATCATGCCTTGAAAGAGAGGCAATCCAACAAGTATATGAGACAACGGAGTATATTTTTAGCATTAGGGGAAAACCGCGCTTCGAAAACATACACCTAAAACTTGAAATACTAGGAATAAAGAAGAATCTAGCATTTAAGCCTAATACCCAGATGTAAACCCAGGTATTATAGTCATTACCTATTTCCAACTAATACTGCTGGTTCTTTTACTATTTCCTTCAAGAAGTCAACCACTTGATCCCTCCACACCATGGCATCATATTCGATAAGTGCTTTGTCACTCCACCCAAATCCAAGTAAGTCTAACGCATAAACCTTGTGTTTCTTAGCCAATTCTGGAATGTTGTACCTGGGAATATGTAAATAAAGATACATAACTATCTACATAATAAAAAAACGAACTTATCAGACTGACAATTGAAGCCACAATAACAAACATTGTATAAAGAACCAATTCAACCCAAAAGTTTAAGTTAGTAAGTGATGGATCTTCAATAATTTTATATTATATCTCTCTAACACCCCCTCACGCAAAAGTCCGTTGAGCTTGAAGCGCGGATATTGCATATGCCCACTTTTTGGTTCTACCTGGTGCTAACTTAATTCCATTAGAAAGTAGGGGCGGTGAGGATCGAACTCGTGACCCATGGTCACTGAGATAAACAACCATTTCACCCAAATGCTTATGCAAAGAAGTGGAGGCTCATAAATGGTTTTTATATTATATCTCTTTAAGAGATTGAATTCCAATAAAAAAGAAAAACTAGAACTATTCAGGCTTCTTATCTTACAAGAAGGAGCAATAGTGACAGTGACATTTAGTTGCAATATAGCACAGTTAATTTGATAGTTAATTACATGCTACTATATCAGCACAATTCTCTCATGTAATATGTACACACACAACATTTGAGATTAGAATAATAAACAGCTGATCTAAACAGCTCATAGAAGGGGGCAAACGAGAAAGACACAATATTTAAATGCCTAAAACCACCACCACTCTGCTCCTAATTAAACCCCAATTAGCGAGGCTAAGCGTGAACACAATTCTTGTACGTCTATGTTGCACGGACACTGACACGAGACACGGGATACGACACTCCGACAGATTAATTCTAAAAAATGTTAGATTTCGACATGTTAGGACATGTTTTGATACTAAATAATATTTTTAATTTATGTAATGTATATTGTATTTAATATTCAATAATTTAACAAAAAAATAAAGCTAAACTTATAATACCCATCAATTTTGCAAAGAAACATAAGATATCTCAAATATTTATATTAAACTCAATAAAATGGTAATCGTAATTCAACGAATCTAATAGTTGGAACTAAAAATGCAATGCAACGCAATCTTTGATCAATTTTTGAGTTTCTGCAACGCGTATTGGAGTCTCAGCGAGTGTCGGCAAGTGTCGAACAGGACACGACACGTCAAGATTTTTAAAGTGTCGGTGCGTCATAATTGTATGTAGCGTTGTACTTACATATTTCTAAATAGGCTCTTTTCTGAATTCGAACAGTGACCGAAAGTCATAAAGGCCCGAAACCACCAAAAAAGAAAAGAAATGTGGAAAAAAGAAAACAAACCTCCAGTGGAATGCAGAGGCCCCAAAACCATGAATAAGGACAAGAGGAGAGCCTTCTCCTTGCACAACATAGTGTATTTTATGACCCCTCCACGTCCAATAATTATACCCTTCCGATTTGTAAGGCAATCTTTCAAAACCTGAAGCCAAATTCCTTCTCTTAAACGGGGTGCCAAACATGTAAGCAAAGAGTAATATTCAACATAAATCATAGAATTGAATGTCAGCATTCACAAAACAGAACAGAGAACCAAGTAGTAACTAATAAGTACCAACCTTGAGATGATGCATCTGCTTCTGCAGTAGTCAGAGTTGAAGCCATGACTGAAACTCCAGAAGCCACAATTCCTTTCACCGCAAAACTCCTCCTGTTCATTTCGCACTTGCTTCCTTCAAACAACACCAAAATCTTAGGAACAAAACTTAACTCAAAATTGCAAAAAGATACATACATACATGCATTACAAAGACTATGTACGATGACTAACGGGAATCCAAAGGGAATGAAGCAACAAGGGTAGTTTTAGTTGGTTGTAATCGGACAGAAGGAGAGAGACCCCATATAGAAGAAGCCATTGATACACACAAAAATCGAGACTATGAGTTTGAGGAGGTTGAAACCAACAAGTACAAGTTCTCCGCAGGAGGAAATTTCTGTGGTGGGCGAATGTTTGATTGTTGTGGCGGACTCCAAGCCAAAGATTGGCATCATCTCATATGATATTATTTTTGGGAAAAAATGTTTCCTCGGGTTAACGCAAGATAAATTATTTACATTTATTCTCAAAACGACGTTATTTTGGTATTGAAATTTTAAAAAATTATAAATATAAAAACCATTATAACCTGAAATAAATTAAAATTACAAAAATACTATGATTTTTGTCCCAAAACGACGTCGTATTAGACTTACTGCAGATAACTTATCTGTCGTAACTGCAAAAAAAAAGAACCTTATTATTATTCTTTCTTTGGACAAAGCACATTGGCACTTCGCAATTTCTAATAATTTTTTTTAATAAAAATATTTATTGCTATATGTTTCCGCAGTTAATGCAGATAAATTATCTACATTTATTCTCAAAACGACATTGTTTTGGTATTGAAATTTTAAAAAATTATAAATATAAAAACTATTATAACCCTGAAATAAATTAAAATTACAAAAACACTATGATTTTTGTCCCAAAACGACGTCATATTAGGCTTACTGCAGATAACTTATTTGTCGTAACTGCAGAAAAAACGAACCTTATTATTATTCTTTCTTTGGACAAAGCACATTGGCACTTCGCAATTTCTAACAATTTTTTTTAATAAAAATATTTATTGCTATATTTTAGTCACTGTTTAGATCATCTTATTTTTTAATTTACTTTTATAAATAAAAGTTAATTCAAATAGGTTTTTTAAAAAAAATCTTTTTTTAATAGAGAAAAAAATCAAGAGCTCCTATGATAAGTTTTTGTTTTAAGCTATTATCAACTTTTTTTAAATTATTTGTTTTTTTTTTAAAAAAAATAAAGAGCTGTGCTTCTAAGCAACTTTTAACTTAAAATTTTTACGTAATCACAAAATAAATTTTAGCATTTTTTTAAGTTTTAGCTTAAAAATAGCTTCTATTTTAAAAACAAAATCCATTAGTCTTAAAATCACTCTACTTTGGCTGTAGGTAGGGGTGTAAATGGGCTGGGCTGGGCTGGACTTTGGCCTTTTTGGCCCAAACCTATGTCAAAAAAAATTCAGCATATCTGGCCTACTGGTCTATTAAAGGCTTTATTTGATGGTCAAGCCCAGCTCATTTTTAAAAATAAGAAAGCCTGACATGGCCTACAGGCCTTGTAGGCTTCCCACTGTAGATACTAAGCAAAAAAAATAATTGTATAGAGCAAAGAAAGTTCTATTCATGCATGCACTAGTACTTCTCAAAAGAAAAAATGACAAATAAGAAAGAGTCAATATAATACCCAGCTCTAGAATGTATATCATAGAGAAATAGAGTCAAACAAATGGAGAAAATAAGAAAAATACAATTACCGAATGCTGAAATAAAGTCTACAAGAGAATGTCATTTATCTAAAAATCTTTAAACCACCATCAAGACAAGGGAAAGAAGAGTATTATTGAAAGATCTTTATCAGTAACATCATAATCCAGCAAGGTACCCATTACTCCATGGTATTAAGCTGCAACAGCAAGTAAAATTTGGAGACATTAGACAAGTTTTCCTTTCATAAAATAAAATAGCACAAAAAGTAAGAGATATTGATATTTGGTACTTTGCGTCTTTGTCACATAAAATAAATATTATTTTATTATTTTATTTTAATAAATTAAATAGGCCAGCTTACAAGGCTGTAGGCCGGGCTTGACAAAATTGGCTTATGGCCTATTTGTTAAAAAAACTTTTTTATAAGCCTAAACCTACTCTACTTTTCTAAAAGGTCGGGCCTGGGCTGGGCTCAATGTAGGCCGGGCTGGGCCAGCCTGGCCCATTTACACCCTTAGCTGCAGGCAATATTAATTCTTAAACAAATGTGATTCATATGACTTCTTAATTCTTAAAAATTAATCTCTATGATGTTCAAAGACTAATACGAGGATATTTGTGATTTTTAAGATGGAAGTGAGAATTTTGTATCATGAGAGACAAATGTCTATATTCTCAAATTTCTCATGGACAATCTTGAGAGTTTATATTTTTTATCTCAAAATTTTAATAATTTGGTTTTATAATTACACTTGAAAAAACTAAATTGTTTGATAAAAAGTTTAGGAAAATGCGAATGTCATATGAAACTTCATGGGTGTGTTTGATACAGGTTATCTTCAAATATTGCTAGGCATCTGAAAGTGGGTAAATAGTTTGTCCATGTTTGGTACAAGTTATCAAAAAATTTGCCTACCTAACCAATTTTCCCAACAATTGAACTTTCTATGCAAAATTGGTTCAAAACTACTGTGCTCAAATCCTTCTTTGATGGTGGTATTTTACAGATAACGGGCTAAGTCAAAACCGTGAACATGGGAGTTGCCAAAACTAGCCTTTATAAATGCTATGGTAAATGTAGCACAAGGATTTACAAACCGTGAACATGGGAGCTACCAAATCTCATTTGGTCATTGTGGGATCACAAGGATTTACAAACCCCGTGGTAGTGGTAAATGTTGTGGTGAAAGTAGCACTCCTCCTCCTTGCACGGGTAAAAGTTTCTTGTGGTAACTGCTAATTTAATGTGTATTACCTTTATATATTACTTTGAAGAAAGTTAAATATTTGTTTTACATGGGTAGAAATGATGGCTGTTGTTTTGTCAAGAGCTTCCTGGCATTGCGTTTAGTTGTTGGAATTTGATGACTTTAGGCAATAGTAGTTAAAGGGATATTTTGTAATTTTAATCTGATTTTTCATCAATATTTTATCTTTATCCAAACATAGATTCAGACAATTTCACTCAATTTTTCCGGTAATATTTTGCCTAACCAAATAATTTTTTTTTTTAACTTTTCTACCTAACTCACTTTCCCTGCAGATCCCTAGTAATTACATTTCTCTGGTAAGAAAAAAATTTCACCTCTACCAAACGCTCCCTATGACTTTTTGCAAATAGCTAGGCAATTTTAACTTTAATTTTTATTTTAATTAGTCTCTTAGCTTCATCTTTCCATTAGCATACACAAATGGAGTCACCTAGCATCATCTTTCCCTTTTTTTATGTATGAAGATCGTGTAGCCTTTTATCACAATTTTACAAGCTTAGCGGTGAGTGAAAGTAATAGAGGCAGCAGGTCCTCAAAGCACAACTTGCATGCAGTGCAACACACCTCCACTTCATGCAACACTTTCTTCTTTCTGGGCTTAATTCACATTCTCTGTTTAATGATCTTCAGTATAAGACCATAATAGTACTATGAAATGAAATCAATATGTAATCATATATCTTCTTTGAATTCATTTGTTTTCTTGAGTTTTTTTAAAAGAGAAAAAATGGATTTCTTTGCCAAAAATACTATTTTAAATGGATTTAATGAAAAAATATCATATATATGAGATAACGAGGTTGTTTAATGCATCATGTTTGGACCCCATTTTAGTGGGATAAACCTTGATGGTTGATCTTGTTGTTTGTCTCTAACTCACTTACCCTCATTTGAGCTGGACTACAACTAGAATAACAATATGGAGGTTTAATAGACAAGAATTGATCAGTGGCCGAGCCAGCCTCGCAACCTATCTATGGTCAAGAAAAATTTAAGTGGTGTCAAATATTAAAACGTGAAAAGTTATTTAGCCACGGTTAATTAGTCACATTTATAAAGTGGCTAATTTTTGAAATTTAACTAGGGCCAAAGCCCTCACACACATAACGTGGCTCCGCTACTGAAATTGATAGTTGGTTACCGGGTCATGCCATTGGTCAATAACAAAAAGATATAGATTCATCAATTAGCTAGACATCCTAAGAATTCAATCAAGAATGAGTACTTGAAAATTATTAGTATTTCCTCTTTTCTTTACAAATATAATACCCTTATCACTTTGTATTGGTTAGAGCCATGTTTGAATCCTCTCTTTTTTAAGTTAAAAGCTACTTTTAAACTAAAGTTAAAAAAAAAGCTTAAAAAATAAAGTTGAAAATTGTTTGGTGATTATATAAATTTGTTATGAAGGTTTTGAAGGAATGTGTAACACCCCGTAGTACTCTGGTTGTTAACATACATGACATTTAGCGTACACAACGGAAGACTTTATTTTATTAAATATAAAATCGTCTTATAAAAATATGAGTTAACTTTTTCCAAAATGTTTTCTAAAAATATTTCCAAAATCGTTCACCTGAGATATTGCGTAAACGTGAATCTAAAACATACAACTACTAACTAATTCCACTAGCCATTATTAGTGGCCATTGACTAACCGGATATGACAACAAGTATCATTCTTGCTAGAATCTCACGGACAACATAACAGCTATTTAACGGATAACTGGGAGATAAGAATCTCACTAAATAATTTAATCCTGATAGACACAGTTGATATAAACAGACATCTCACAAGTCTCATACGGATTGTGATCACCTCAATGGGTCAATACATACATAAGGTTCCATGCCCAAAACTAAACATCAATTACAGCATGTTCATATACTAAACACATGCATCTAAACAAATACATAACAACACATAATTCTCCATAAGCTCATCAATTACAAGTCATAAGCACTATTACACAATTAACATAATCTCAAAATACATAACTATAGCATGATCAAAGCGAAACATGCTATCAAATAAATATCCACTGGCACTCCACTAGCCACGTGTCTGGTCCTTGCCCATGGAGGGCTCACCATTATGGTAGGTACCTGAAATGATGTCCCCAAGAAGGGGTGAGATAACAACAATCTTAGTAAGCTCAGGGTTTATAGAGAATCTTTATTCCCTCGAACTCATTTCCTACATGACAAGTCAAATATAAAGCATATATGTAATCATACAGCATAAACATAGCAACATATCTGACCCTAGTTAGCTATTCTAGGACTCGTCCTCGAATAGCCAACACCTGGCATGTCCAACATGCTAGTGTGAAATAACCCCCAGAGTCCAGTCATAGGCAGTCTACACACAATATCTCAAGAGCATGAAATAACTCAAGGGAATGACCTAAGAGCCT